ATAATCAATATTATTTAATACTTTTAAACGATGTGTAATTGTGTAAAAGTACAACTTTTGCTCCAAAATGTTATTTTTGTGAATGAAAACTTTTTTAAAACAGATGTTTTATTTAAAAATGGAGTAATTTACTAAATAACGTGTAAAGGAAAAGACCTGTACTATGTTTTAATGATATAAATTGACTAAATGGTTTTAAACAATGAGTGTAAAAGGACCATTGTTTAATAAATAATAAAAAACATAACCTATATCTGTTTTCTGTCATCATTAAAGTTTGAAAATGTATTGTTTTTCCATCATTTTGAACATTTTTACATTGAACAAGACAGGTGTAACAGGTGTACAGTCTGGTACCGCATCAGATGGGGTTCCGTATCGTGGGAAAATTTTCCCACGATCACGTGACCAGTCCAGAAGTGGAGGTGGTGGTGAAGGGGTGTTGGTGGGTGGGAAGAGGAGGGGAGACCGTGGGAATTTTCCCACGATCACGCGGTCAGACCGGAAGTGAGCGGGAGGGGTAAAAAAGGGGCGGGGCTTATTTTTATGGGGGGCAATAAATCACTCAAAGTGACACTTGCCGCCCTTCATTCTCTCTGATATAAACTCGCAATTATGTGTTTTAAAGTCAGAATTGCTAGATGTAAACTCGCAATTGTGAGAAAAAAAGTCAGAATTGTGAGATAAAAAGTTGCAATTCCGTCTTTTTCACACAACTGTGACTTTATTTCTCAGAATTGCGACTTCATATATCGCAATTGCGACTTTATTTCTCGCAATTGCGACTATTTCTCAGAATTTCAACTTTATATCACGCAATTGCGACTTCATTTCTCAGAATTGCGACTTTATATATCGCAATTGTGAATTTATTTCTCGCAATTGCGACTTTATTTCTCAGAATTGCGACTTTATATCACGCAATTGCGACTTTATTTCTCAGAATTGTGACTTTATATTTCGCGATTGCGACTTTATTTCTCAGAATTGCGACTTTATATGACGCAATTGCGACTTTATTTCTCAGAATTGCGACTTTATATCACGCAATTGCGACTTTATTTCTCAGAATTGCGACTTTATATTTCGCGATTGCGACTTTATTTCTCAGAATTGCGACTTTATAGATCGCAATTGTGACTATTTCTCAGAATTGCGACTTTATATATTGCAATTGCGACTTTATTTCTCTGAATTGCGACTTTATATCTCGCAATTGCGACTTTATTTCTCAGAATTGCGACTATATTTCGCGATTGTGACTATTTCTCAGAATTGCGACTTTATATATCGTAATTGCGAGTTTATTTCTCTGAATTGCGACTTTTTATCTCCCAATTGCGACTTTATTTCTCGGTATTGCGACTTCATATCTCGCAATTCTGAGATAAAAAGTTGCAATTTAAAAAAAAAAATCAGTGGCGGAAACAAGCTTCCATAGTTTTTGTTTGTTTGTTCAACAACAAAACTGAAAAATAAAAGCCTTTTGATCATGTGCAATGAAGCAAACAGACATTAAAGCATCTGAACTACCAGAATATTTTTTGTGCCTTCGGTGTGAATAGACTCGTCTGTTATTTGCTATATTTTTCATTTAATTCGTGTTGTGAAAAAGTGTTTTCTTCCCGCTCTATATTCCTGAAGCTCTACTCTAGTTGTGCATTGATTTACTCTTTAAAGTCTCTCAGAGTCTCTCATCAGTGAATGGTCATTCAAAGTTGTACTTTCACAAAACATCTTCTGAAAGTTCTCCCAGCGTCCTTAAACACCCTCTGTAATATTGTCATTTCGTTGCATCATTGTCAACTTTTGAAATGCACCTGCTGCATGACGTCCTCAAAGCTAAAGGTTTTCACAGTTGATTTTGCTTGTTGTGGTGATGAGGCGTTCTGTTTTTCACTTTAGATGCAAATACATGGCTCCATTATGAGATGGTGGTCTACTTCAAAGAACTAAAAACCTGCGTTAATGGATTGTGATTAGTACATTACGGTGGCCCTTGAATACTCAAACACCTGCCCAGGATTTTTGAGAATGGCTTTATTCCAGATCCTGTTAAAAACACATTATGAATCATTTCAGTCTAATTAGCGTCTCGAGAACTTAATTACAATCCACACTGGACGCTTTGCCAATATTGCTTTTTCCTAATTTATTTCGTCTCGGCTTTAGGCTGTGTGTTTTCCCACACAGAGTTCACGGACATAATTCCTCTCCTATGGCAACTCCAAGCAGTGTGTAAAGCGAATCCTCTGAGATTTGGCCACATTTCCCAGTAAACTTCTTATGGGGGATTTGAAGGGTGTTAATCCATGGGTTTGGTCAACTGTGCGCTCACACTCGCTGAGGCCAGAGTTTGCATTATTTGTTCCAGTTTCTCACCCTAATGGTGATGGAGACAGGCAGTGGTCCGGTAAAGACGTGAGCAAAGTCGAACGCTTGATCTTTCACAAGCCTCTGTATGGACATCTAAAGCTTTTCTTTACCCTCCATCAAGCTGTTTGATCCACTTTTCCTGCTAATAGGCAGAGAGACATCTGCTGTCATACAGTGTCACACGGCAGGATATGACCGGCATGCTCTCTCTCTCTCTCTCTCTCTCTCTCTCTCTCTCTCTCTCTCTGTGCCCGAGTCACTAACAGATCAATGAGAACACGTTATATACAGAAAGGTGGGAAGAATTTTGAGATGTGTGGAAATGTGGCCAAGGACAGGCAATAAGCATTGATTTTAAACCGTTTTTAATTGTCATGCGTAGATTAACGCCACTCTGAGCACTGGGAAATAGTCTAATTCACACATTTGCAATGATGTAACCAAAATTGTGTTATGCTTTTATGCATCATGCTTTAGATAAAATGACCTTCTGGTCAAAAGCCAAGTTCGTTCTGGTAATTTGGTTGCACTTTATTTTACAGTATGTGTACTTACAATGTACTTACCTAGTACTGGTTAATATAAGGTAATTGAGGTTAGGTTCAGGGTTAATACCTTGTTATTACTCAGTTATTGTTATTACTATAATAAGTACGTGCATGGGGAACAGGACGAATAGAGTGCTACGAGTAATTTTTAATCTTTCATGTCGGCTTAATTTGTTTTGGAAAAAACTGCTATATCATTCACCAAATTTGTACTGACTTTGTTGTGTAACTTTGTAACTTGTGTATTTCATCCTTTTAATGAGCCATTTCGTTTTTTGTTATATTCTCATTCCGAATCTTTTTTTATGTAACCTTTTCAAAAAAAATCAAAAAATGAATTTTAATTATGAAAATGAAGACTATATATATACTTCATTTTGTAACCAAAATAATATTAAAAAAAATTCACTACTGTTCAAGAGATTTCCTTTTATAAATGAATACTTTTATTCAGAAAATAAGCATTAAATTGATCAAAAATGACAGCAAAGACATTTATTATGTTATATAATGATATGTTAATGATTTTTTCTCAAATAAATATTCTTTTAATGTTTATATTAATCAAATAATCTTGAGGAATGTATCATGGAATGCGTCATAAAATGTAAATGTATAGTCCACTAAAATATTAAGTAGCCGTTTTTCAGAATTGATAATAATAAATGTTTTTTGATGAGCAAATCGGCATATTAGAATGATTTCTCTGACACTGACGTTAAAAATTCTGCTTTGCCATCACAGAAATAACTTACATTTTTGAATATATTAAAGCTGCAGTCCGGCGTTTTTCCTCTTTGTCGCCATCTCTGTTCGAAATCTACAATTGCAGTCATTTGCGGAATTAGCAACTTTACGTGAGTTGTACTTCAACACCCTCGGCACGGCACAGCACTTATGAACAATATTTGAGGAGAGTGTGCTGCTGTAAGTCGCATCTGAGCCCGACCGATTTTGAATCCCGATACCAATACAAATATTTTTTGGTTTTAAAATCCGATATTCCGATATATCGGACGATATTTTTTATTTATTTATTTTTTTTAAGAAACGTGCAACAAAAAATTAACAGATTTCCCTAACATAGTTACTTGTAGTTATTTTATGAGTTTTATCTGAAATAATATGATAAAGCATTTTAAAAAGAAACTTGTTTCTTTTATTGTCACAACAGAACAGAGGAACATCAAAATATATTAAAGTTCTGTTAAATAAAATAATAATTAGTCCCTACATTGCCTTATAAGCTACCTTATAATTACAATGTCAGGTTAGCTAGTCTATGATGAGCCATAATTTAGCAATAACGTCATACTGCAAATTGTAAAACATACATTTTCAATTTAACAGGCCAAGGAGAGATGATTGAAGCGTGTTTCGTCCGTTTTTATCTTATTTTTTAAATATTCATTTATCGGCCATTATAACTGCCGATACCGATAGTTTGGAAAATGTCTAATATCGACCGATATATCGGTCTGGCTCTAGTCGCATCTAATGTTCTTCCGATATTATCCTTGTTTTCGCATGGGGCCGGTTGAAGTCTCTTTTTTCTGTAGCCACTCCGAAGTCCGAACAAAGTCTTTTGCATTTTACAACGGGTGAATCTTTTGTCACTGGTGATCGTCGTTTGAACCTTTCTGGATCCGCCATCAAATTGCTAAGTTGAATTATATCAAGTGCTGTGAGAATAGGCTATAAATCTCCACCTCCAACATCCTCACACGCAATATAGCCTACACAAGCTGAGACTCCATCTTTATGTGTACAGATGTGACGTAACGACGCAAAGACATGCTCAAATCTTCCACGGAAATCCACCAGTACCACTGGAGTTAAAAATTAAAAAAAAAGCTAAGGCAAGCAGATAGTTTTGAACACTGGCTGGTTATGTATCCAGGGAATGCGACCTTACAAACATTTGAATGGAAAATGACCGACCTTCTTTGTCACTTATTACAATAGACAGTTTCCCCACACATATCTTTCTCTAGAGCCCAGGTAGTTTGGTTACCAACTTTTGTTTAAGAACCCATGTCTGTAACCAGCATGATTGGTGTGTGGTGTGTATTTCAGGTGGCCCTGCATGCGTGCGGAGTGGCAACAGACATGGTGTTGGATCGCTGCCTCCAGGTGCGGGCGGGATTCGTCATTAGTCCATGCTGCTACGGGTTCATTCAAAACACACTCAAGTTCAACTTCCCCAAGAGGTCAATACTGTTTCCTTCTTCTTTCTTGCTTCCTATCTGTCTCTCTTCTCATTTGTTCCCCTAATTCCACAGTACACAACGACAGTGTAGATGTTATAATCCACAGAATATTAAAAGCTAAGCTCTGCATACCCTCAAAAGATCCCGACAAGAACACGAGGCCGTTCGAAAATAGCCAACCACAATAGATCAGCATAATAAACATACCTTATTGCGTCTATTTCTGTCGTTCTCTTCACATGAACGTTCTCCTGTATCAACAATCACAGCTGAGCCTCATCAGTGCCATGTTAAATGTTGGCGAGAAAATGCTAAAAATTAGAGAGTGTGTTTTAAAACTTCTTAACGGTGACGACTGCTTTCAAACAGTCATCGGTTTTTCCCCCTGATCTCAAGCAATCACTCTCCAAATCCGGCGTAAACTGTCATTTAATCTCTGGTAGGAATTTTGCCGCAGGGTGGCGAGAGCAGCGAGCGCAGGAAATGATTTTTCCGTGGTTGTGTTCATGGTGTTGCTATGGCAGCGGCCCATCCAGGGATTTGTCTATTTGTTGCATTCTACAGTTAGGAGAGGAAGGGCGACCTGATGACAGACAGTTAATGTACCAAACATTACCTACCACACACATAAGAGTTGCAGGGCTTGTCTTTATCATGCGAGTGTTACGCGAGACATCTCGTTGTATTTACAGTACGCACGGCACTACATTGTCCATATAGAATGTTTCCAGCATCTCCTATGATCTGGATGGACTGTCTTCTCCTTAAGCGTGTTTTCGTTTAACGTGTCATGTCATTCTTCATTCGCTCCTCAGTGTGTGGGTGCGAGTTCATTAAGTCTGCCCCCCTTCGTCTCTCTCTCCACAGCATGAGGTTTGCGCAGACTTTGAGCTATAAGGTAAGTGTTTAAACACTCTTTTCATTATCATCTACATCTGTGTGACTCCACACTTCCTATTTCTTAATGCACAATCTCCACAGGAGTACGTCTCATGTATGTGAAACACAGTGTTCGATTTAGTCCTGTTTAGGTCATTAGTTTGGATGCACGGTGTGTATATGAAATATATATATATGTATGTATATATATGTGTGTGTGTGTGTGTGTGTGTGTGTATGTGTATATATATATATATATATATATGTACAGTATACATATATATACAGTATATATATATATGTATATATATGTATACATATATATATATATTTATATGTATATGTGTATATATATATATGTGCATATATATGTGTGTGTGTATATATATATATATATATATATATGTGTGTGTGTGTGTGTGTGTGTTTTTTTTTTTCTATAATCTTTAGCCAGTTTGTTGTCAACATTAATACTTTTTAAAGTTTTTTTTTTTTTTTTTTTTTTTTTTACATTTTTACTTAATATGAATTAGGTTAGGAATTTAGAACCAGTTTATTAAAAAAAATAAAAAAAAAAATAAGTCATTGCAAGTTTCATGATGCTATTATTTTAAAAGTTCTTGAACATTACTAAAATTACTAGAATACAATATTAAATGTTTCCCGCACTGCTGTTGAATCTACTAAATAAATTTTTTTTGTGTGTGTGTGTAGTTATAAAAATGATGATTAAAGAATCTTCAGTCTGAAATAGATTTTAGTGAAAAAAAACTAAATAATCAATGCCAAACAGTGAAAGCATTGTCATGGATGAATTTTTTATGGAATGTGACTTATGAATCAGTGCACTTGCCTATTAACGACCATTGCAATTAAATATGACCTCTGATGAAATTCTGGCAGTGTGAGAAGTTTTGATGCGCTGCGTCCTGTAGTCTGACTTTGACCGGTAAATCAAAAACCAAGGAGCGTCGAACATGATGATGCAACTAATGAAACCGCAGCAAACCACCACTTGTCTTCATATTTTCAGTTTTTTTTTTTTCAAGAGAAGCCATGATCAAAATTAAACACTTGTAAATTTGAACGCTTCTTTACTGCCATTCAGTCTGACATTAATGAGAACTGAGAGCCCACAGTGTGACATGGTTTACAGCAGGGAGCATGTTCATATAGTCTGACAAGCATCAATCATAAACGACTATTATAAATGGTTCACGGTGCACCCGGCTTAAGTACAGGAGGTATTTTTGTGTGCAAACTGGGTTGTAATATTCTGTTAATTAATCAGTTGTTACCATGAAAATAATTAGTTTCAGCCGAACTTTCTGTACTAGTGTATTTCTCGTCATGACTCATCTTCACTAGAGGATTTCTTTTTTCTCTCAGCTCCAGCTCTATAAAAATGTTACCGCAGGTTCTGAGTAGCACAAAACATCTGTCCTTAAGCCGATGTTTTTCCTTCTCTTCTCATGATTCTCAGATGAAATAATGTATTCCTGAGAATAGAGTGCCCCTTGTAGTTGCACATTGTATTTTTTTATGGTTTTTTCCTGCTCCAGGCACTGTGCTGCAGTGGAGGCAGAAGTGTGAGAAATGGATGAGGCTAATCAGTCGTTCTGTATCTCACTGTCATCAGTGTTTGCTCGACTCCTGCATCTGCCTCTTTCACGCTGTGCTCAAGCCCACTGCTAAGATATCACCTACAAAGGGTCCTAACAAGATACAGCCAGTTCCTTGGGAAGAGATCTTGAGCAATTCGAAATTTAACCTCTAATGTTTGCTAAGACGAGCATCACTGTTGCTATTAGTGTTTGAACAAACTGAATTATGAATTAAACTGTTTGTACACTGTAAAATAAATTTACGGTAAGACAATACGGCAGCTGTGGTTGCCAGAAATTGAACGTAAAAAATACAGTAGCAACATTTTAAACTTTACGGATTTAACTTAAATTTACAGTAAAAAAAAAAAAGTCAAATTTGAAGCGTCACACTGGGAATTCTTACAGTTTTTCACTGTAAATTAAAAAATGACTAGTTCTTTTTCACTTCGAAAAACGTATTTACCGGTATTTTACTGTAATTTAGTTTAGGGTTAGATCTAATACAGTTATTCACTGTATATAGAACAGAAACTTTCCGTTAACCATTAACATAAAAATCTTTATAATTTTTTACAGTGTACAGTAAAAACGCCCTATAGCAACTTTGGGGCAGGTAAATATCACTTAAAGGTTAATCTAGACACAGTTTAGATGCATATAATTCCCCCCTTTTTTAATTTGCAAGGCGTCAACTGATTTAATTTGACTGGATTATTCAATGCATTGTGGTTTAAAATGAATCCATTGAAATTCCCTGCAGAAAAAAATTGATTTTATTTTAATCCTTTGGAATTGATTTGAGTTTTACAAAATGTAAAACAGATGGATTCCCTTTGCTTCTTTCCAAGCAAGCATGATCGATGCAAAAGTTTGTATTGGTACGACTACGAATACTAAAAAATACTGAAGAAATGCTTTACTTTGTTAAATTAACTCTTTACCAAGTTTTAGCATCGATCACAGCTATTAGCCCAAAGGATTCAACTTGATAGGAGGTATCAATCTGCCAGGGCTGTTATGTTCCTTTCCATCTGCACTTGTTTCACTCAGTTAATGCAGAATAATGGTTGCTTGAAGCCATCATTGGCCAGGAACAGCAGAGGAAGTCATTTTGTGGCACTTCCTTGCAACAGACCCTACAAAAAAAGGCGAAAGAAACTGCAATTAGAGTGCATTGATTTACATGAAATGAACTGGATGCTGCTTTCCTCTGTTTCTCCTCTAATGGCTGGTTACAATGCTTGATAAATGGTCTCTCACCACAACCCTAACGATCTCATGCATTGATATTTCTCTGCAGCTGAGCAGTTTTTCAGATGTTTTTGTGTGTTTATGTGCAAGTGTGTTTATTGATGTGTCAGTATGTGTTTTTGGTACATTAACATATGTTCTATGGTTTCCACAGGAGCATATGATCCTGTGCAGGTTTGCAGACCAGACAGCTGTCAGTTTACCTCTGGAACGGCGATTAATCGGTAAGATGTTTGGGTTTTTAACAGGTGGCGGGAGTTATTGTGACACTGTTGCTTTAGGTCTGGAAATTCCTAATAGAGTTCGTCCATATGGCTACAATTTTAAGCTCTGAATAAGCTGCAGTGTTGAGCAGACTTTATGGCGAAATCAAAATTCTGGATGTGAGTGACTAGCACTGATGGGCAGTAACGCGTTAGAAGTAACGCGTTACTGTAATCTGATTACTTTTTTCAAGTAACGAGTAAAGTAAGGGATTACAATTGAAAAACGGTAATTAGATTACCATTACTTCCCTGTAAACAGGCTGCATTACTGCGTTAGATAACCGCGATTTTGTTTAGTGAGACTGTCTCGTGACATGAGTCGTGCGTGAATAACAATGATGTATGAGCGACTTTCTTTTATTTCATTAAAATATGGTGTAATGTGCAGAAAATAGGTTTAAATGTTCAACAGTTTTCTTCTAGTCTGAAAGTGTTGCATTTACTTTATTTTTTGCATGATGCAATTTGCATAAAGTTAAAATATTGAAACTAATAAAACAAGTTTAAAAAGAGAATGTTTAATTTGATTACATTTTAGATGATGGAATAAGCAGCAAGAATAGAATTAGGCTGAAAGGTCTATTGCTTTAGCATGTTCAGGTCGTGCATCATGTTTTTGAAACGTAACTAGTAAAGTAACTAATTACTTTTGAAAATAAGTAATCTGTAAAGTAACTGGATTACTTTCTTGGAGAAGTAATCAGTAACTAATTACTATTTCCAAGTAACTTGACCAACACTGGTGACTAGTAAGAACTCCTTGGCAACTGCTTAGTATTAATTAATTAGTTAATTGCAGCATGGTTAATTGGGTTGTACTTTCATTGGGCATTTAAGAAACTTGTTAATGGTTCTATGGACCGTAAGCAGTTGTTGGGTTACCAATTGACTTTTAAGAAGGGTTTCTGTCTAGGATAAATGGAGAGAAAAAAATGTGACAAAAAATGTGTCTGAAATCGCACAAACTATGCAAAAGCAGCAGCCTTTCCACTCACTCGTTTTCATTCACTCCTTAAAGGGGTGATGAACTGAGAAATCAAATTTTCCTTGAGCTTTTGACATCTAATGGTGTGTTCACACCGAACGCGAATTTTATTATAAGTCAATGCAAAGACGCGAACAGACGCATCATTCGCGCCGGGCGTTGCCAATGACGCGAATTGGGCGACGCGTTTGCCGCGAATGTCTTCCACGCAGGTTGAAAAATTTGAACTCGAGCGAATGTTCAAGCATCTAACTAGACACGATAGACGCGTATTTGACGCTCTAATCGCGTTCGGTCTGAACACACCATAGGAGATTATCGTATTATAAGAATATCCTCTATGTTTCAAAACGTCCTTGTTAGTCCAATAAAAGCTGTTGACACCAGGCTCAGCAAACGACTCGTTTTTCAAAGTGGGGAACTATGACGTCAAAGAGGATAAAACACCACCCCCGCAGAAGAAGATCAACGGCTACTTCAACATGGCCGGTTTAGCCCCGCTTACGGATTCGTACATTACACTCATAGCTAAATAACATAGGCCTACCTCGTGATGACAAACCGGATCGAGAGTGAAACCCATTATAATATGCAAAACTGTTATCCACTCACAGCAGTGGGCGTTTACTTCCAAGTCTTCAGTGTGAGACGCCCATAAAAACCGAGCGTTTTTGAGCCAGGCTCAAAATGAGGGTAAAAAATAGCCTAGTACTTATTCATTTTGATGTTTTTTAATGTAAAATCCAAGTGAACGTCATAAGTTGACCTCAGACAACAATAAAAAAAAAATGAAAAGCCAGTTCATGAACCCTTTAAAGTGAACTATATTAGTGGACTAATGTAGGGAACTGTGAATGAGTGGATCAAGGGCGATTTCCGACACAGACAAGATCTCCCCGCACTGTGACCCTTCTCTCTATCAAACTTCTCGCTACACACTTGTAGCCCCGCTGTCTCATCCTACTCGCGCATAAATCTGACGCCGCTGTCATCTTTCCTTCCACTGGCCATCTTTTATAGCTGGCGAGATGACAGCCTCTCTGCCTCTTTACAAAACACATGCTAACCGGCGCTGTAGCCTGTGCCGTGCCAGTCAAACCACACGCTTCACAAAGGCTTTCAAAGGCAGATATCTTTGAGTTTAGATGAGCTGTTAATTACAGTTTGATAAGATGAGAAAGTTTGTTTAAAGTCTCACTGTTTTATCCGTCAGATTACAGAGCGTCTTTAAAGAAATGGCATTTCAAATGACTTTAATTTAGAAAAAGTTTCCAAATTACTTCATGAAATTTGAAAGATTGATGCGGTTCTTGCATTTTCTACTCGTCATAATTAAGAAAAAAAATGTATTATGGTTTCCTCAAAAAATATGAATTAGCATGACTGATTTCAACATTAAAAATACTTTTTATTTTCATTTGATTTTTATATAACAATTTTAAAAACGTAAACTTTTAAACACTGTAAAACTAGTTAATTTCATTCAAATATCACTAGTTCATTGCACTTAATAGAACAATTGATGTGAACTCAATAGCTGATTATATTAAGCAGAATGTTTTTTTTATTAAAAGTTAAGTAAATCGAGGGTTTAATCGTATTTTAGTAAACATTCTTTTAGTGAACTCAAATGAAATGAGTTCACAGTACTCAAAATTAATAGTTTCTAAACTTAAATGAATAGAGGCCGCATTATTGATCTTTTTATGAAACTTTTATGGCCCCGAAAATATTTTATTGACTGAATATCTGAACAAACAATACACCAAAAGAAAGAAGAAAGCCACAGCTTTTATTAAAAAAAAAAATCTGTATTCTGTCAATGCCGGGTAAAAAAGTTAATTAACAACAATGTAATATCTGAGTAATGTTTTTCGGTGTAGATTTCTGGCCTGCTCTTAATAAACGTAACTCATTTAATTTTTGGTCTCATTTCCCATTGTTTTCTCCGTCAATCACCAGGGAAGCGCTGTATGGGACTAGTGGACTTGGACCGCAGTTGGGCCGCCGAGACTCATGGGTATTCTGTGAGAGTGATGACTATGGTCCCTGAGGGCTGCTCGCCTAAGAACAATATGCTTGTGGGCTTTCCTACAACATAACACTGACTCACTGAGAAATACCCACATCAAGACAAACTTCGGGACTACAAAAATGTATTTTTTATTCCATGGGATGTTTGAATTTGGTCAATTTATAAGTGCAAACGGGGAGGGATAGTTCCCTCAAAAATAATCGAATCACCTTCAAGTCATTCCAACCTCGTATTACGTTTTACATTCTTCTATAAAACGAAAAAAGATCAATCTTTTACATAACATGAGAGAAAATTGTGTGAATACTGACAGAAAAGCACCACAAAGTCCATTGGATTAGTGTGCTAGTCTTCTGGAGACACACGATAGCTTTGTATAAGGTACAGAATCTAAATTAGGCTGTTTTTATGGTGCTTTTTTTGTAGGCCATCCCCATTTCTCTTATGCAGAACAGAAGCTTTGACATTTTGTCTGACATCTCGTTTTATGGAACACAGAGGAAAATAATTCTGGTTTTGATTGACTTTAAGATTTTCATTTTTGGATGAACTATTCCTTTAATATTTTTCCTTTGATCTGCTACTTATTTGCGCACACACTTGAATAATGGTTTGAACTAGTTGTGCAATTAGTATGATTTTTAAGCTTAGCTTTTAAACTTGGCTTCATCTAAACTATTAGAGATTTTAATTTCAGTAATGTCTTTCAGATGAGTCCTGATTTGCATGCCTGATGTTTGTGTAAATAGAAACAAAAACCAGCATCCCCAATTTATCATAACTTTAAAAGTCGTTTGCAAATCAGTCACATTGAATTGTGTAAAACCACCTCGCACTCCCTCCTCCACCATTAATGCACAATACGCACAAAACAAAAGAGTCCAGCCTTTCCCAGTTATTAACAATGTAAAATTATTCATTGTAATTTGCACCTCTCCCTCGCACTCTCGAGCTTTTGTCTTAAAGTGTTTGATTAAAAGTATTGAAAGTAAACACGAGGAGGAATTTATCACGATTCTCTTGTGACACGGGTCAGGAGAATTGGAGGGGTTAATATTTATGAAATGGTGCGTGCATGGATTAATCTGACCACAGTTATGAATATTTGATTAGGCCACGGCTCACACAAATGTCAAAGCGCTGCAATCGGTCTAGAGCTTTTGCTGATATATGAACTATTTCCCCGTTTTACTTTGCTGTGTTTGCACGACTGTCATCAAACACGCCTCCGGATCGCTCGCTACAGAAAAGCAGTGGACTGTCACGTTTGTGATGTAGAGATGAGATATGTTCCTCCGCCAAGAGGAAGTGCACAACCTTAAGCTTTGAGGAGCCAAGCTAGCGAAACTCATCTGAATTCTGCTAGCGGAGCCAATCTTTCTGAGTGTGAAAGACTGGAGACGGGGGCACCTTCCAAAGACCTGGAATCATTTCAATGGGAAATGCTTCTTCTTTCCTCAAGGATTGGCTCTGGTCCCTGATTAAATGTACATGGAAAAACAAATACATAATAGGATAGGTTGAAATTAAAATGAGACTATATAATTGCATTACTGTAATGTTGACAAAGATATTGAAAGATTGTTTCATTGTTTTTTCCTTCTACAGAACTACAGGTTTGAAGAATACAATATATGATGCAATATGCCAAAATATGGCAGTGACACATTAATGCTAAAAAAAAAATATTCTGCATAAAGTCAGTACTGAAGGCAGAAGTGTAGGTGCGAGTGTTTTGGTGTTTATTATTTTTTTTTTTTACTGAAAACATGTTGAAAATGCTCTGTAAATCTTTTCATCAACACAATATTTTGCTAAATACACAGGAAAAAGTATGGGGTGGAACCCTTAAAAGGACATCTTTGGTGTGATTTGCCGCGATTGGTGGAATTTTCTGTACTGCATCATGGGTAATGAAGTTTTTTCAAAGTTTTTGAACTGTTAAACACGATTCTTTTAAAAAGTAGTTAAAATAATGTGGACTGATGACTTATACAGTGCCATCTATTAACAGCCTCTGAATCCACAGTATCTTTCTTTAAAGGTTTATAAGTTACTGTTAAAAAATATTTCTTCGTATGAAGTAAAATGAATTGTGTTTTTACTTCCGGAACCCGACTGTTGAACTCTAGCTCACATGGCTTGTTGAGGAGAGGTTTGTTACTTTCCTGAAATGCTTGTGAATTTCACATCGTGGACATGACCCTTCACTAAGCCCCGCCCTCCCTAGTTACTGTTGCTACGCCTGTCAAGCTTTCGCGGCTGGCACATCTATTACAGTGTGTATGCACTGGTGTCAGACATATCTATTAGCTGGGTTTCAGTCATGTGATTACGATGACGCGCGAAATTCAGATGGAGGGCAGGGAGTGAAGAGCGCAATGAGGGAGATGGAGGAAAATACATACTGTACTACTTTACACACTATTACAAGAGAAATATATAAACAAAAAATCAAACATTATGTTGGATGTGATCCTTACGTTATGAAGAGGAGCGATTTTTCAACTGAATTGAAAGATTTTAGATCATATATTCATGACATAATATGCAACTGATTAGAGAATAATTTCTTAAAAATTGAAGCTAAAGCCTATAGTCCCAGCGCAAGCAGCAGCCGCCTCGTGCTGACCATTTAAATGGGAAACACAAATTGAGGAACAGCTACTAAAAGTTGCTTAGTCAGGGGTAGTAGGCCGTCGATTAACAAAATGCTGAAATATATTATAAAGTATGTCAGTGAGCCTCTGACTTGTCCTGAACCCCTTGATGCCTGAATTTATTTACAATTATATAAAAAAACAGGCATTGGGGGAATACACATGCTATCTCGCCTGCAGTCTGAATGGAAGGGGTTTGATGCGAATTCGCAACAGTTGGCGTTAAGGGGTTAATCGTCTTATTTTACATTAAAATATATGCATTATGACCAAAGAACCGTCAGTATTTCCAAGCAATAGGTGTTTTTGTTAATCATGTCGACATTTAGTTGTGAATGGGTCTCCCACACTGCTTGATCACGCCCATCATTTTTCCCCTTCGCTTTTAGATTTTCGGGAAGGAAAACAATTCCACTCCCCCGTCCAAACTTTTAGGATACTGTGTGTCAGATTTGCCCAATCCATACTGTTTCCCTCGCTCAAGAGCTTGCCAGACCCCCCGCGCCTAGTTACGGTTGCTAAGACATAATTGACCAGTGGCGGTTTTTGGGCGTGGCTTAGCGAAGGATCAATACAAGGGGTGGAGTTTAAATGGGGCCCATCAGAATATCATAGAAACTTGGGGGTGGGCCAGTAGTAGTGGTTTGCTACTCTTAGCAACCACTCAAACCATCATGGCAACCATTGCAAACACCCTAGCAAGAATTTAGTGGTTTTGTTTTTGCTTTCCAAAAATGCTAATCAAAGTCTGCTTATGTAGCCAAAGACCCGAGGTAGGAAAGACGCATCAAGGGTGCTCAAAGCGCTTGTCAAATGACAAGTACAGACTGTGCTATTGCTTCCTTCACATTATCTCCTGTTTCCTTCTTACCTTGAGACAGGAAAGTCAGTTTCTTTGGAAATATCAGAAGAGCAATGTGCAATTTCACCTATTGCAGGTCGCAAAATTCATGACCAAATCAAGCCGCAGTCCGCCTTAAATTCATCTGTGACAAAACCTAATCAGAAAGCGTGGCAGGCTCTCCAGTTCTGAAGAGGCTGAAATGAGTTTTTCTCCAGTGTCACCATTCATAGAGGCTGTGGACGTTCTATATCTCCATAAATTTAGAGTGACCGTGTCGTTCCATCTTTGAAATGTCACTGTGTAGTTCATGCAAAACTGGACTGAAAATACACATGAAGCACGTTTCTCTTTGACACTATAACGAGCTTATAAAATTGGCAAATTTGAACATATTAACTTAAAAGAAAGCTGTAGCATATTCTAATTATACTGTACATTTACACCACAGCTGAATGTAGACCAAATTCACATAAAATCTGCCATTTTTTTATTCAGATCTGGGCCTCTTTCATGTGGAAATAAATATGACGCATAACAGAATCAAAATCTTGGCAGTGTGAACATTCAGCAATATAAATTTTACATCAGTTGAATTTATACGTCCTTATAATGTCCTAATCATGTTCTTGATTTACAGCGAGTATGCTAAAAATGCCCAGTGCTGTGATAAGGTTTTAGAGCTCAGTAATATAAGGTACGCCTACTAATATATATATATATATATATATATATATATATATCAGACCAAAATCAAATTCTCTGAGATTTTGGTCCATGTTGACAAGATCTCAGTTGCTGCGGATTTGTCGGCTGCACATCTATGATGTGAATCTCCCGTTCCTCCATTTAGATCCGATGACTGTGGAGGCTGTTTGAGTTTAGTGAACTCATTGTCATGTTTGAGATGATTTGAGCTTTATGATGGCACATCATCCTGCTGAAAGTGTCCATCAGATGATGATACACTGTGATCATAAAGTGATGGACATGGTCAGCAACAATACTTAGATAGACTGTGGCGTTTAATCGATGTTCAATTGGTACTAAAAGGCCCAAAGTGTGCCAAGAAAATCTCCTCCACCATCACACCAGTAGAAGCCTGAACCGCTGATACAAGCTTTCATATTGTTTATGCCAATGTATGAATGTCAGAAATCAAGACTCATCAGACCAGGCAACGTTTTTCCAATCTTCTAATGTCTGATTTTCGTGAGCCCGTGTGAATTGTAGCCTCAGTTTCCTGTTGTCGTCTCACAGGAAAGTCACTGGTGTGTGTGTTTTGCCACTGAAGCTCTTCTGCTTCAAAGTTCAGCATTTTCAGAGACGCTCTTCTGCAGAACTCGGGTGTAACGCGTGCTTATTTGAGTTACTGTTGCCCTTCTATCAGCTCAATCCAGTCTGGTCATTCTCCTCTGACCTCTGGCATCAGGAAGGCATTTTCATCCACTGAACTGCACTTGATATTCTCTCTGGATTTCTAAAATACTCAGACTTGCTCGTCTGGCACAAAAAAAGTCACTTAAATCCCCTTTCTTTCCTGTTCTGATACTCAGTTTGAACTTCAGCAGATCTTCTTGGCCATTTCTAAATGGCTAAATGCATTGAGCTTCTGCCATGTGATTGGCTGATTAGATATTTGCATTAATGCGCAGTTGAACAGGTATATCTAATAAAGTGGCCGGTGAGTGCATGTTTCACAAAATAGTATTTAAGCAGAACAATGGAATGGGGTGTAAATGTATTCCAACAAGCTGTGCACAGTAACACTTTTAAAGGCGACTTTTTCAATATCTTACTATTGAAACATGATCTGTTTCCTTATTTTCCCTGGAATATAGCACTTTAGTTAAAGAGTAGAGCATGAAGATATCACCGAATGTGATTGATTTGAGATGAGACCAGATATAGATGGCATCTGGCATACTTGCATTTCTAAGTGTTTACCCAATGGAAATGGAAACTAAAAATGAGACGTAACCCTGCACACGACTCCTTGAGACCTGAAACTCAAGTGATGACTTTGAACCATAAATCTTCCTTCCAGCAGTTTTACACGACAAAAGCAGGTGCCCTCCTGTCTGCAAAAACCTTTACCAGTGATTTCTTATCATATATAATACTATATATAAAATATGTAGGCTAGCGTATATACAGGTGAAACTCAAAAAACTCATGCAAAAGTTAATTTATTTCAGTAATTCAAAAGGTGAAACTAATATATTGTATAGACTCATTACATGCAAAGTATATATATATACATGCATATATATATATATATATATATATATATATATATATACAGTATATATACACACACACACTACCGGTCAAAAGTTTTAGATCAGTAAGATTTTTTTATGTTATTAAATGAAGTCTCTTCTGCTCACCAAGGCTGCTTTATTTAATAAAAAATGACAAACAGTAATATTGTGAAACATTATGGCAATTTAAAATTACTGTTTTCTATTTTAATATATTTAAAAATGTAATTTGAAAGCTGAATTTTCAACATCATTACTGTTGCTGATTCCACATCAGTTTTCAGTGTCATGATCCTTCAGAAATCATTCTAATATGCTGATTTTATGCTCAAAAAACATAAATTATTATTTTCAATGTTGAAAACAGTTGTGTACCATTTCCCCCCAAAATTCTATGATGAATAGAAAGTTCAAAAGAACAGCATTTATTTAAAATATAATCTTTTCTAACATTATAAATGTCTTTACTGTAACTTTTGATCAATTTAACTCATCCTTGATGAATAAAAGTATTTTCTTATTTCTTTCCCCCAAAATAAAAAATAAATCCTTACTGACCCCAAACTTTTGAAAGGTAGTGATTAATGTTACAAAAGCTTTCCATTTCAGATCAATTCTGTTCTTTTGAACTTTCTATTCATCAAAGAATCCTGAAATAAAAATGTAAAAAAAAACTGTTTTCAACATGGATAATAATCATAAATGTTCCTTGAGCATCTTATCAAATAATGCAGCCTTGGTGAGCATAAAACCAAGACATAAAATATCTTACCGATATAAAACTTTTTACCGGTGTGTATCTCACTATATATATAGTGAGATATTTCAAGCCTTTATTTGTTATAATTTTGATGATTGCAGCTTACAGCTTATGAAAACCGTAATCATCAAAATTATAACAAAAAAAGGCTTGAAATATGCGTTTATGTGTGTTTGTGTGTGAGTAAATATTTTCTATGTGCATATAGTCTAAATGGCCCTATAAACTCATACTGTTCATATAAACAGTATGTTCACTCGAATGTGCATTGGTTTGCTATGGTATGTATAAGCGTTCCCGTCCCTCCTTATTGGGCGCGCAGTTCTCATTCAGTGTGTGTAGAGAGAGATAGAGAGAGAGTGCTGAGCGCACCGACTCTGCGCTCCTCCAGTCCACGGTTCTCCACAGAAAGAGCGGAGCGCAGACAGAGACTCTGCCGGTGTCTCGTGCATGAACAGCAGTCAACGCATTCTGCTCGACCCGCTTCGTAGCTTTGAAAATTGACGGACCTAACCATCACCATTATTTCCATTTAAACAGCAGAAACCAGCGGCGGCGTTTGGATATACGCAGCGTACACGCAAGGAGATGTGGATCATAAAGTTCATGCTGATTTGGACCTGCTGGTTCGGAGTGAGCGCGGACTTCGATGGCAGGTGAGACGGCAGTTAAACGTCTAGACGACTGTATCAATGTGATGTTAAGAGTTTTGGTAGAGCGTGAGAGTTTGTTTTAAGAGTCATTTTATGGTTCTGGTTTTTTTTTTAAGATGAATATAAACTAAACTGCTTTAAGATTTTGAACATTCAATGTCTTTTAAGAATTAATAAATTGCATCTCAGGCAAAATGCAATATAATACATATGGGCTAGATACTGGGTTCATAACAAAGGTAACAGAGTTGACAATTTTAAGTTAATTTAGGCATTATTATGTTCAAGATCAAAACACTACAGTGTGTTTATTAGAAAGAAATTTTAATGCTGATAATTCTTCAAACATCCACTTTTGAATAAGTCGTTGTATTATGTAAAGAAATCGTGATAACAGGGCTGCTTAAGATCATCCCCTGACAAGCTTCGAAAAAAGAATGAGATAAAAACCATGAGACACTTTTGCTTAAGGAGTCAACGTCCATGTATAACGATCCCATTATGACACTGTTTTTATTTTGTTTATTTTTTACTATATGTATAATTTTCGAAATGTTTTTGAGGAAGTTGCTGGTAACAGGGTTGACTAATAACAAAATCTAAATTAGGCTTGGGGCACAAGTGGCATTTTGGGCGAATATGAGTTCTTTATATCAAAATAAAGGTCTTGATGAGCTCTATCCAATGGTGCAAAAATCCCTATCTGATATCAAACTGTATTGAATAAAGCAACAAAAAGGCGACTTATTTTTTTTCATATGCCATACATTTTTTACTTAAATACTCATTCATGTAAGTATGCATGTGGTTGCAATGTTTGTGGTTTAAGGTTAATAATACAGGTGATTGAAATGTGGTCAAAAACAAAGTGTTTTGTCTGTCCTGTAAAGTTTAAAGCCACAGACGCCCCTCTGGCTCAAAGCCCTCGTTAAAAAACACTGCAAGTAATTCATATAGTCAATGTTTGTGTTAACGATTTATTTCTATAGAAGTCGAGTCATAAATACGCTTCTGAAAGCATAACAGGTTAGCCTCACGTTTAGTGCTGTTGACATCAGCTCAGTTTAGGACGGGTTTTGGTGTGTGTTGTGTTACTGTGTTGTCAATCAGCACGGTGAACTTGTGAACTTGCATCAGTCTACAGCTGCACTAAAGATCTTCCCAAATGCTAAAAGCATTCATTCTTTAACTTATCTAACTGTGTTGAATACTGTGTGTAATGGGAGTTTAAAAACAAAATCGTGTTTAAGAATCATTTATTCTCCCTCTTGGACAGTCGGCGCACATGCTCCCGGTTGTTTCGTGCCCCAACATGTAATGTGAAATATGTGGTGAACAGAAACGTGCCAAAGATTCAAATCTGCTTAAAGCTTCATTGAGATTAAAGGGGATTGAATGTCCATGCTTGAAATTAACTATGTGCTTTAGTATAAGTAGCTCAGTATACCTTAGGGCAAGGTTTCTCTGTCTGTTCCTGGCACTGCACTGTCTGCACGTTTTAAGGGTCTTGCTAATCTGGCACAGTGTTGTTCATGAATCCCTCTGCTAGTAAGATTGATTGTTGAATAATATGTGCTGAATAAGATGTGCTAAATAAGAGAGATATCCAAAAGGTGCAATCTGAGAGACTTTCAAGAATGAATGGCTCCAGGGACATTATTAGAGGGGCTCATTGATCTCTCCTGTGACTTGGAGAAAGTTCTTTAAAAACAGAGCTTATGACTCATCCCTATTGAGCATGCATTGTTGAATGACACCATTCATTATGGAATGCTCAGATACCTCATTCAAGTATTGTTAATTAAGCCTACTAATTATGTTATATAGTAAGTTTGCATCGCCTTACATAATGTATTAGGTATGCATTGTCTAATTATGTGATGTATTATGTATGCATTACCAACTTAAGTCATGTATTAAGTATGTATCGCCTAAGTATGCTTTGGCTTACTTAAGTATGCTTTGGCCTACTTAAGTCATGTATGAAGTATGCATCACCTAATTTTGTCGTGTATTATGTTTGCATCACCTAAGTAGTCATGTATTATGTCTGCATCACCTAATTACGTCATGCATGATGTTTGCATCACCTAATTCTGTCATGTGTCAAGTATGCATCATCTAATTCAGTCAGGTATCAAGTATGCATCGCCTAATTACGTCATTTACAGTATGACGTTTGCATCACATAATTCCGTCGTGTATCAAGTATGCATCGCCTAACGGCATGTATTAAGTATGCATTGTCTAATTATGTCAAATATCAAGTATGCATTGTCTGTTTAAGTAATGTATTAAGTATACATCATTTAATTGCATCATGTATTATGTATGCATCACCTAATTACGTCATGTATGATGTTTGCATCACCTAATTCTGTCATGTATCAAGTATGCATCATCTAATTCAGTCAGGTATCAAGTATGCATCGCCTTACGTCATGTATTATGTATGCATCGCCTAATTACGTCATTTACAGTATGAAGTTTACATCACCTAATTCCGTTGTGTATCAAGTATGCATCGCCTAACGTCATGTGTTAAGTATGTATTGTCTAATTATGTCAAATATTAAGTATGCGTTGGCTGTTTAAGTAATGTATTAAGTATACATCATTTAATTACGTCATGTATTATGCATCACCTAATTACGTCATGTATTATGCATCACCTAATTACGTCATGTATCAAGTATGCATCCCCTAATGTCATGTATTAAGTTTGCCTCGTATTGAGTATGCATTGCCTAATTATGTCATGTATTATGTTTGCATCACCTAATTAGTCATGTATTATGTATGCATCGCCTAATTACGTCATGTATGAAGTTTGCATCATCCAATTCTGTCATTTATCAAGTATGCATCATCTAATTCCGTCATGTATCAAGTATGCATCGCCTAATGTCATTTATTATGTATGCATCGCCTATTTACGTCATGTAAGAGGTTTGCATCACCCAATTCTGTCATTTATCAAGTATGCATCATCTAATTCCGTCATGTATCAAGTATGCATCGCCTAATGTCATTTATTATGTATGCATCGCCTATTTACGTCATGTAAGAGGTTTGCATCACCTAATTCCGTCATGTATCAAGTATGCATTGTCTAATTATGTCATATATCAAGTATGTGTTGGCTATTTAAGTAATGTATTAAGTATACATCATTTAATTACGTCATGTATTATGTATGTATCGCCTAATTACATCATGTATTAAGTTTCCCTCACCTAAATAACGTGAAAATCGAACGTCATGTATTAAGTATACATCGCCTAATTACTTAATGTTTTAAGTATGCATCGCCAAATTACGTCACGTATTATGTATGCATCGCCTAATTACCGGTTGGTCATTGTTGTGAATGCCTCACTTCCCATTCACTGTCACAGTCACACGGTTCCCACAGGGTGTTCCTCTGAGACACTGGCCACCCAAGTATGGACTTGTGAATTCAACTCCCGCAGTGATCTTTATGGCATCTTCTATCTTCCGCTCTGCTGGGAATCATTTTCTCCTTTTGGCAAGATGAGCAATAGCTGTCCTTCGAAATGGACTGGAAATGTATTCACTGGCAGAAGCATTTTTTGTGTTAAAATTCAAGCTTGGTTCTTTTGCTTCTTCATTTTCCCCTTATTTATCATTGCGAGTTGCCCAGAGGCAGAGCACAGCTATGATGCGGTTTCACGAACACATCCGTACTCAGCTAGGGGGACATTAGTAACAGTTTTTTTGGTACAACATTAGCAGCGCTCTTTTAGAGACATAATGAACAACTAATGCGTGCTTGTTTGTCATCTGTCCGAATGACCTTAGCACACTCGTTTAGTCAAGACTGTTATTCATTGCATTCTGTGCATTCTAACTTCTCTTTGTCATCCCATACATCACAAGCTTAATGTTTGTGTAACTCACAGACACGATATTGATGCGTTTTCTTCAGGGCATGGCTTGTGCTGGCATTTCAGGAGCGGGAGCTGCCCACTGTAATGAACGTGTACATTAACCTGTTGGCGCACATTATTAATTTCGGTCGTGATGGAGTTCGCTTGTCACCAGGGCCATTATTTGCCAATTTGCCCTGCTTATAAACCTGCTTCACTGCCCCGATCTAAATTCACAGAGAGAATATAGTGCATGAGAGCACAGTGAGGGGCTCATTCATTATATCCCGGCCCTTAGCAGGGGCCGTTAAGCTCATGTCTAATGGCTTGTGCTACACCTGAGGGATGACTCACTGCTAAACCGCCAGCTTGTCATTGGCTGACTTGATAACAAGAGTAATCAATTCCAGACAGACTCATTAAAGTTTCTAACTTTTTCAGCTCTTCCAACATGGGGTTTTGGACTGTTGAGCAGGGGGTTCCCACTCACTGGAGCAGAATGTACATTCCCCGCATCTCTAATTGTTCTTATATATTTTGTCAACAGTGCTTTGTTACTCCCCGGGTAAACCCTACAAGCCTGTTCAGAAGGGCTAGGATTATGTCCACATGTCCGGTTGACACTCTTTGTGGTCTTACAATTGATTTCATCATCTGAATTGTCTCAGGGAGCAGAATTTGACCCCAGGCCTGACTTTGCTGTCATGCAGTGGCAGAGTCAGCTTCCATGGCCAATGAATGTGTATTTGAGTGAAATGCTTTGTCACTTGGTCTGTAGTCAAATTACTTTCAATGTTTGGATTTGACCCTCTCCGGCAGTCCGTCTGTTGAAAATGAGATGCACCCTACTCATCATGATTACATATGGGGAACAAGATATGCTGTCACATTCTGAGGCTTTTGTTGTTAAAGGGGTGATGAACTGAGAAATCAAATTTTCCTTGAGCTTTTGACATCTAAGAGGTCATCATTTTATAAGAATATCCTGTAAGTTTCAGAACTGAAAAAGTCCTTGTTAGTCCAATAAAAGCTTTTATTGACACCAGCCCCAGCAAACGACTCGTTTTTCAAAGTGGGGAACTATGATGTCAAAGAGGATAAAACAGAAGAAGA